CAGCCCGGCGCTCTCTCGGGCCAGGGCTGCGCCGCGGGCGCCCCGGCGCGGAGCGAGCGAGGGTCCTCGCGGGCCCTCGACCTCCCGGGACCTGCGGCGCCGCGCGGGGACCAGGCGGCAAGGCCTTCAGGGCTGCGCGCCCCGGCAGCCCCCTCAGGCAGACCCGGCTGGCCTCGGTAGGCCCCCCGAGAGACCCCAGCGGGCCTCAGCAGGCCCACCGTGCAGTCCGGGGCGACCTCGGCGCCCCGGCGCCGCCTTCGGCGGCGTCCCTGGGGCGTTCCGCGCCCCAGGGTCGGGGCGTCGAGGCCGCACTGGTCTGCTCGGGGGGCCTCTTTAGACCAGCTGGGGCTACTCATGGGGGCCTGTTGAGACCAGCTGAGACGACCTGGGGGGCCGTCGGCGCGCAATCCGAAGCGTTGCGTTGCCCAAACCAGGGCGGAGTGGCTGCTCGCCGTCCTCGGTGCGCTGGAGCCTTTTAGGGCCACGATCTGCCACCAGGCCGTTTCTTTCTGCCACCAGTCGTTCCACCCGAGGCGCAGCAGGGGAGGTATGGAGTTGGTGGACGGATGGAGTTCGGGGAAGGGGGAAGAGACGGCATTCTCTGCGAGCGGTCGGTGGCTTCCTCTGCAACCCGTTGTGGACCGAGTGCCTTGATGTTGTGGTTCACGTTCCAGGGCAGCGGCGCCGTTTCTTTCAGCCGTCAGTATTGACTTCTGCAACGCGCTGTGGACCGATCACCTTGATGTTGCAATGTATGTTCTGATGGCCGCCGGGAACTATACTTAACAAGTTAATCGGCTAGGGCACCTTTCCCGACCACTTCGGAGGAGGAGGCTCGGAGGGCATAGAGTGGTGGTGGATGCTAGGGGACGAAGACGTGCGAGCCGATCGGTGAGAGCGTGTTGACCGCAAGAGCTACGCTAACCGAGTTTCTGAGCAGCATCTGGATCAAAATATACGTTTGCAGTACTTTTTGACTGCCTAAGGCCAGCCAACAATCTGAACCAACCTCCCACGGCAGAAAACCGTGTGCTTCGCATTGCCACTCAGGCCAGCCAGACGATTTGGCCAGCCTGATACTGGGGAGGGTAGGCTTTCGATTACAGAGGTGGGAGGATAGACGAGGAGGAGAGGGGTTGCGAAGCAGAAGGACTTCACCGACTGGCTGGCGCATACTCTGTGTCCTTGCGGGCCCACGGTCTTTTTCCATCTCTTCACGCCTCTCTTTTTGCCGCGGCACCAGCCAGGCGTGGTCATTGTGTTCCTTGAGGCCTCGCGCTGTGCATTTTTCACGACGCAAGCAGGCCGAATTTTTCATGTCTGATCAGCGTCAGATCGGGGATGGACAGACCCCCCTTTAGTAAAACGTGGTTTAGTGAAAACGACCAGAGGCCCAAACCTGGCGGGCGCAGGCCTGGAAAATAACGGCCGCGGCGCCCTCTCGAGAACCGACAACGGGCAATTCACTAATCGACGTGTCACTGTTGGGGGTTCTGTCCACCCCCGATGATCAGCGTCAGAAAAGAAGGGAGGAGGAGGTGGGGCTCGAAGCTCAGACCCCCTGCGGATTCGAGCTGCCCTCGCTCCTCGGCCTCTCGGCGTCCGGGGGGGCCGCCGTCTGGGCCCCCCCGGGGGGTGCCAGCACGAGCCGGCCAGGCGCAGCATTCTACCCGTGGGTAGGGGTGACCTCTGAAGCGCAGCCTGCCGATCGCTGCCTGCATGGGGCGCACAACGGCAGACTACGGCGGGGGTATTCTTTTAATATTTCAGCATAGAGGACCACTGCGTGAAATATTCACCAGCACGTGATAAGTACGTATACTACCCTCGAGGGCTGACTACGGCGGGGGCCTGCATGGGGCGCACAACTCACACCCATACCCATAGGAGGGTCGCAAGGAGGGGACCTGGCTGTGGGTATGGGTGCGAATGGTCGGACCCTGGGGGAAGCTCCCGTTCGAGCGGGGACCCCCATCCGACAACACGCGCCCATAGCCTCCTCCCTCCCCCCTATGGGTATGGGTGCTTGTTGTTCGATCGTCATGCATGGGGCGCACAACAGCAGACTACGGCGAGGGCTTCGGATAAGGAAGCCTGGGATGAGGAGTCCAGAGTCTGGGAACCTCAATTGCGGATCGGCAGTGGGCATCGCCGCCGCCCTCATCAGACAAGGAATGCTCCGGGGTCTGGAGCCTCCTGGGCACATGACTTAACCAACACCTCCACAGTACCACCCTCGTCAAAATTAACCTCAAACATGTGTTGCATATCCAACTTGAGCTTGCGTGCGTCTCTGGAGAAGCTGGCGATGAAGGTGCCGTAATTCTTGGCGCGCCCCCTTTCAATGTCGATCATGATCGAACTTTCGACGTGACCCTGCTGAACGGTCCAATGCCCCCCGGCCACGATGTTTCTTGGCGTGCCGACATGGAACGGGGGCCCCGACATTGAAGGGGCGTGGCCGACATTCTGAAGTCAATGCTGCCGAAGATTGTAGTACTGTGTATACTCCTTGGAGTCGTGCGTCCGACCCGAATCGTATCACCATCTTGTAGGTTTCCCGAGCGGTACGGCCAGAAAGCGACCGCCACGGGGCGGTACACTACAAGATCTCTCGGCGCGCACGTCGCCCCCATGGGGGGGCGACGCACACGTGGTATTAGCCTACTGGGGTGACGCCGAACGCATGCGATGCGACAGAAGCGGCCTGCGTGCTCTGCTTCGCCCCGCCTGCGCGCCCCCCTGCAAGCCGCACACCAAAGGTCACTGCTGCGAAAGGGCACTCGCGCGTGCAACAAAACAAGAACACGATCTCGGTCGGAAGACTGTTTCCGGGAACTCGGGCCCGGAGCAAACCAACCAGGAAGCCCCAGGGGCGAAACCTCATTGCAGCACAACGCTGCTTATTTCTCCCGATCGGGATCGGGATCCCAGCTTCACTCAGATAGCGGATCGGCCGGGTCTGCTTCACCGCCGATGATCTGTGGCAATGGCCCTGGTGGCTGTGCCGGTACGGTGGGGCTCTGGGCTTTGGGGTCGGGCCCCGAGTATGGGCAGACGCCCGAGTACAACAGCACCGCGGTGATCACCAATGCAACGCCGAGCAAAGATCTTGGGCCGAGCGAGCCCCCCAGGAATACCGCCTGTACGAAGCTTGTCAGGACAATGGCCATCGTGGTCGCGAAGTTTTTCCATATGTTGTCAGCGTACTTTATGGTGACGGCGACGATCAGGCCGCCAAACGCATTGTTGCATATGGAAACCCACACCATGGCCGTATAGCCGTGGAAGAAATTCGCAACGCTGCCTCCAGAATTGAAAAAAACAACAAGTCCGATGACTGCAGAATAGCATGCAAGCTGAAGGTTCCGAGCCGCCAGCGTGACGGTGGACCCCTTTAGCAACTTCTCGAAATAGACGCAAGCCAGACCGGACAAGAGAGTCGCCGCCAGAATTATAAGAACTCCGCGCCAAAGGTCGCTATTGTTGCCGCCATGTTCGCCAGTTTTGGGGGCGGCATGACCCAGGACCACGAGCGCAGTACCTGCGACCAGCATGGCGAGCGCCGCCC